GAGTTACAGATGGCTGTTAGCCACCACGTGGGTACTGGGAACCAAACCCAGACCCTCTGCAAGAGCAGCCAGTGCTCTTAACCACTGAACCATCTCTCCAGCCCCTTCTTTATTATTTTTGTTCTCACCTATACTTTTATATCCACTCTCCAACTTGTGTGTTCTAGACAATATACATTGAAGAGAAAAGGCTTACTAGCCAGGAAGAACACAGTATTCTCTTTAGTTTAAAGGCATACAGTTTTCAGCATTGTATATTCTGCAAATGAGAGAGGGAGTTGATTCAGAAGCCTCCTGAGGAAACGTCTGGTATAGGGATGAAATGGCCATGGTGGTACCTGTAATGCCAACATTCAAGAGACTGAGACTGGAAGGTTGCCACAAGTTCAAGACCAGCCAGGGTGGGGATGGGGCTTGAATTGGCCTTAGATATATATCATGTTTGTGAGTAGAGAAGATTGGAGAATGAGACAGCCATGGGTCTGTATGTCAGCTGAATGTAGGCAGAGTCCTTTCTGGGGCGTTCACATTGGCCAAAGGCAAATTACAGTATCTTTTAATATATATTAACTTTTGCACAGTTTTTATTCCTAAGCTAAGTTTTGGGTTAGAATTACCTTCTAATTACCTTAGAATTACCTTTAAATTTTTTTTAATACAAGGATAAGTGATTGCACTGTGAAATATTATCCAAGGCTTTTTGATGTAATCAAAGCTGGCAATGAGAAGATTCGTTCTGCAGACTTTGCCACTACTGAGATAATTTGTGCAGTTAGTTATTGTGTAAGTCAAATTACATGGCCTAATCCACCAGATCTACCTAGTAAGTGATTAGCAAACTGTCCCACACAAGTCTAACAAATAAACATTTTATTTCTACATGAAAGGAATTGGAAATTCATCCCTTTCAACTTCTAATCTACCAAGTTCCAAGAAAAATACTGAATTTTAAAAATAAAAATAAATTTCTTAGTGTTATTTTGTGATTTCCATTGAAAACATGGTGTTACTTATAGCATTCATTTATTTTCATAATTTGTAAATAGAAATCATTTATTTATAATATATACATAAGGTTTCAAACCAGGTCCTTGCATATGCTAGGCGAGTGTTCTACTACTGAACCACAGCACTATCCAAACATGTTTTCTTGTCAGTATACTTTGTAGAATGAATAAATCAAGTTAATCGCCTCACAAATATGTGTGTGTGTGTGTGTGTGTGAGAGAGAGAGAGAGAGAGAGAGAGAACATTTAAAATCTGCTTTCTTAGCAATTTCCAGGGATATGATATCTTACTCCTCTCAGTCTGCTATAACAAGTTATTATAAATTGGATAATTTAGAAAAAAACAGAAATTTATTGCTGATAGTATTGGAGGTTTGAAAATCCAAGAAATCAAGCTCTGATGTCTGGAGAGGCTCTTCTTCACAGCTCATGTCTTCTTGCCTCAACTTCTCATGATGGAAGATAGATAGGCTCCCCTGGCGTGGATTCTGTCGATGACTAGTCTGCCCTCTTGATCTCATCACCTCTTAGGGGTTAAGGTCAACATAGGAGTTTTGAAGGATGCATTCAGACAATAGCAAAATGAGCTATTATTAACTACAGTCATTATGCTGTACAGTAGAACTCTAGAACTTACTCTGTCTAAACTCTGGGCCCTTTGACAGTTATTTCCCAGTTTCCTTTCCTCGCCTGACCTACCCTTCACTGGTACCTGCCACTCCACTCTCTCCTTCTATGAGTTTGACTATTTTAGATTCCATACATAATTGAGAATGTACAGTGTCTGTCTTCTGTGCCTAGCTTCCATCAGTTAGCCTAACATCCTTCAGGTTCACGCATGTTGCTGCAAATGACAGGACTGTCTTCTTTTTAAGGCTAACTAGCACTCTGTTGTGTGGGGATGCCACATTTCTTTTATCCATTTACTCACTGATAGACATTGAGAATGATTACTTGTCTTGGGTCTAGAGAATAGTGTCAAGGAGCTGGGCAAGCAGATGCTCTTTGGCATCCTGATTTCATTTCCTTAGTATGTATTCTCACAAGTGGAGTTTCTGGATCAAACCTCTATACTGTTTTCCTTAAGGTCTATAACAATTTACACTTCTAACAGTTTACCAGGGTTACCTTTTCTCTACACACTCCCTCACATATTTCTTTTGTCTTTTAACTAAATTCATTCCAACAGATAGCTCATATCTTATGTTGAATTTTAATTTATATTTTTCCTGAAGAACATATTCTTTTTGTTTTGATCAGAGATGTATGGCTTAAGATGAATACCAAAAAAGAAAGGAGCCAGGAGCTCCTCCCAAGCCCATGTGATCCCTGAAGAACAGATCCTCAAATGACCTTAAGTGTAAAAATAAATTGACTTATTTGGGCCAACTGTATGATCTTAAACACCCAAAAGGAAAGTATAACTAATGAGTAAAGTCATCAGTGTATTTCTTTAAGAGTTCAAGGGATTGCATTTCCCAGACATTAGGCTTAAGTCTTTATTTAGACAATTATTTCTCATTGATGATTCTGTTTTGAATCAGAAAGTGATGCTCAGATGTAAGACTTCAAATCTTAGTCTGCAATACTGTAGTGCCCACCTGTAGCCAAGGGAGACAACCAGATACTATTCTAAAATGATGGCTAAATTTGTTTTCTCCCCCTATCGAGAAGCCTTTGAGAGGGAGCTGACACTGATTCTAACCACTCCAATAGCTATCAAAATACCTGAAAGCAAATCCTGAATCCATCATTTTAGAGTCCATCCTTGGAAGACAAAAGAAAAATGAGAGAAACCCAATAGAGGGATGCTTTTGGAAGTCCTTGTCAAGAAATTCCAATGGACTCTCATATGAACATTTGAAAATTACCCTGCTCAGACATTTTTCTAGTTCCCTGTCTAGATCTTATAATGCTAATTACTCTTGCCTTTACTTCTTCACATCTCCTATTCTTGATTCAAGGACTTTCTTTTCCCCTTAGAGTCAAGAGTCACACAATTTGGGAGTCTTTTAGATAGACCCACTGAACGGGTAATCCAATTGCCTCGCCCTGTGTCCCTGTTCAGCATGGAAGAAGCCAGAGTTGTCTGTGTCCCTATTCCCTGTTGGCAATTTGGGTAACCCCTTCAGAGGATTGCATAATAAGAATAGGAGGTAGGAATTGGCTAGGAGTTAGGGTAAAAAGACTCCAAAGGAACTTAGCCAGTTTCTTGGCTAAAAATCAAAATGTCCTTGGGACTATTAGCAACATACTCCATTCCAAAGGCCAAAAATGTCAAAAATACTTGGGAGCTTGTATCTAATCCTTAAAAGATTTTAGGGTTACCTCTTCAGAGGGGGGAATGTTAGAGTAGCCAAAAGCCCCATAAAAATAAATAAATGATAAATAAATGATAGAAAAAAAGTAAAAGAGAAAAGTGATGGGGGAGTAATGTGAGGTGTTGGAAGGGAGGGACTGGGCATGAATTTCATCAAAACACCTTATTTGCATGTATGAAATTCTCAATAAATTATTTTTAAAAAATAGGAAAAAAAAGCGCTTTTGTTTCCTGCTGTTTCCTGTGCCTGCCAGAAGATGTAGAGCTTAGCTTCTGCTCCTCCTCCAGCCACATCTGCTGCCATGCCTCCCTGCTGTGATGGACTATAATTCCCCTGGAACTGTAAGCACAAATAAACGCTTTCTTTTATAAAAAAAAAAAA